TATTCTTGGCTGCCGCAAGCCAAGATGGGACCCGCGAGGGTTTGTCAGCGTGTTGCCGGCCCACACTAGTAGATATGGGCCAGTAGTTAGTTTGTGCTAAGGCCAGAGTAGTCCCAATACGCACTTGGTGCTGCTATCTCCTCTTCAGAGCGTACATTATGCTCATCCCGCAGCTCTTGCATGACCTGCTCTTGGTCTGCATCCTTCTCCCTTCTCATGTGCTTCTCATAGCACTTCCGGCACCACACTTTCGGCTTATCCTTCTTCTCAGGGTTGCTAAAAGCATCGGAATGCTTCTGGGCTAGCAGAGGGTGGTCTATGAAGAATCCTCGCCACCATCCGCGAGTATGAGCCCCCGGACGGCTTGGGGGATTTGGTACTGCTCCGGCTGGGTTACTAGGGTGCATGACCAGATGGAGATTGCCCAGGTGAAAGGCCAAAGGCGCAGCAGGAGAGAATGGTTTTAATCAAAAACTAGTAGTATGTGTGTACACAGCAGGGTTCGATATTCTAATAGTACCCTACGGCCGTGCGTTATCGATAGCTGCTACTGCTTCGTGCGAGCGTGGTTCCCGCTTCGTCGAGCGCTCAATACCGGCGTCTTGCTCACGCGGGACCCATGAAACCGCCCGGTCATTGACCGTGACTGGGATGACTCGGTCATTGACTGCCCAACACTGCTTTGTAGTCCACGCGCGCTACTTTTGTCGGTCACTATAAATCGGACGCAATATAAACAGAGCCAAATAGAGCGAGTCGAGCGGCTCAACGAACTCGAACCGCGATGTTTGCTTGCAACCATCATGGCCATCCTCAAGGTCACTTGGGCAGTCGTCTACGATGATCCCTCTACACACGCACACAGTTACAGCTATTTGGGTTGTCTTACACCCAAAGTAGACTCAACACAGGAGCTCGGTACCATTGTTGAGAGAGTTTTCGCCAACCGAGCGCTCGCGTTCAAAGACCCCTTGGCAGGCCACGGCGAAGGGGATTTCATCATCGAGTTCTACGAGGTATAGTCTCATGGAGGTGTCGTCTTATGTCACACCACTTACCGTATCTCCTCTGCCCGCAGCTACCCAAGTGGCCTTGCGAGCGCGACTCTCCGATAGGCAAAATCAAAGAGGCATTTGCAAATACCGTCACCATCGAATACCTCGAGTTCTCATGTATCACATTACCCGATACGGATTCGTACGACGAGGTCGAGAAGCATGACAGTCTCATGGTAGTTCTTTGTGTGTACTACTATCTTGTTTGCTTGTTCACATTTACAATCATTTACCTAGCACCTGCTCCAAGTCCGCGATCTTCCAGGCGTGCTCTAGACACTGTGCTGGAAGAGGGTTCGGCAACACACCACATAGGTCAGCAGTATATTTTCTTTCAGGGCAGTGGCTGTTGTTCCAACACAAATGCCTAGTCCGCGAGAATATCGCTGCCGCGGCCCAGAAACGCAAGTCGCCGTCGACAGGTGCGAAACCCCAAGAAATGCTGAAAACTCAGGACACCAAGAGGCCGGATTATGTCTACAAGTCCCGACCGCTGGAGTTGTCCGGTCCCCCGACCCAAGTCTACCACCCAGCGTTCGCTACCTTCTTGCGTATGATGCGCGACCCGCAGCAAGTCTCCCACGAGGAATGTGGCTGGGCCCTGGAATATATAGACAAGTCTTCGAGGTATTACGCGACAGAGGACGATCGCAAGAGGGAGATGGTCACCATGACTACCGCTGTGCATTCGCGAATCCTTGATACCCTTGAATTTAGCCTCGCGCCGTCGAGAAAATTCAGACCTGACGGCGTCATCCAAACCTCCAGACGGCCTCCCGGTCTCAAGATGTCGCCCGTGCTGTGTATCCACGAGATCAAGAACGAGATTGGCGAGGGCGGCAGCGACCCCTTTGCTCAAGCCGAATGCTGCTACGTAGCAATTTATTGCTCGGACGAGGTCGGTGTGAGAAATGTACACATTCCCCGATGCTCGCCTGACATACCTTCTGTTTAGATACATCCCGTCCGCGAAATTTCTCCCTGTCCTTGCTTCCTGATTGGGACGGCCGGCACCAGCATCACGGTAGGCGGCGCTGTGTTTGCGGACGGGATCATCGTGCAGCAGCTCTCCACTATCTCCACCATCCCTGGCCCTGCGGAGCCGGGGGAGTCGCCGTTGGGCCACGCGATTTATCGTGTTGCTAAGTTTCTCCGCGCACTGAAGGCGTCTCTCAAGGAACTGGAAGAATACTACGATCATCTCACAGTCCCTTCCCCAACTGTACCCCCAACTGTACCTTCATCTGTGGCCTCATCTGTGGCCTCATCTGCGGCTCCGTCTGCGATCTCGACGGGCATGTCTCAACTCGGGCGCTCTTCGCACACACCTGCATCTCGAAGATCTCGATCTAGTACCAAGGTGTCTTCCCCTACTAAGGCTAGGACACCGGCGCCCGGAACACAACAGCTTCCTTACGTCGGACCTCACTTCACCAAGTTCACCAAGCTCACCAAGTCGGGTGAGATTGAAGTGACGCTCGAGTATACCGGCCGGTTGGGGCAAGAGGAGTTTTCGAAGGCGGTGTTCACAGCGCTCGCTCACACAGGCACCGGCACCGGCGCCGCTGCCAAAGTCGTGGTCAAGTTCGCGCACGCTTACTCGTGCCGTGGCCACAAACTGCTCGCCGACCACAAGCTGGCACCGGAGCTGTGGTTCTGCGAAAAGGTAGAGAGCGTCGACATGTATGTCGTCGTGATGGACTTCGTTCCCAGTCGCACCATTGGCCCGCTGTCGGACGCCGACTGCGAGTGCCTCCGCGATGCGATGAAGATCCTTCACGGCGAGAAGCTCGTGTTCGGAGACCTCCGCAGACCGAACATCCTGCAGTGTCGAGGCGGCGGGACGATGCTCATCGATTTTGACTGGTGCGGCGAGTCCGGCAAGGCGCGGTACCCGCTCGATATCCTGATAGACGACACCATGCCGTGGCACGAGGGCGTGGAGCGCGGCGGCTTGATTACTAAAGAGCACGACAATCATCTCCTCAACAATCTTGCTGGCGAGCTTGGACTGCGCAGTGCGGCGCCTGCATCTGGTGGCGAGCATGTTTGAAGCCGCTATTCTTGTACGTTGAGTTAGTAGTGTTCCGTTAATGCCAACCTTTGATGCATGTATATCACCAATATGTTTGCGAAGAGTGCTCGCGGTCGAAACTCGAGCGCCCGGCGCGTTCTTTGTGCGTTCGTGCCCTCCTGTACTGTCGACCTGCCGCGAGTTACGCCGTGCTGGCTCGCTGTAAGTGCGTAGTGTTTGCCTTCAAGTTGAGTTTAAATTTGACTTGTGATGTTGCCCCTACCTCGTTCACCGTTGTCCCTCCTATCCTCTCTCCGACATAATATCCATATACTTTGCTACACATGAATGTGAGCAGATCAAACATTGCCCCTGGCATGACCTCAGTTCTATGTGCTGTTCTTGAAGGTTCGCCACTGTCCAAGCTTTGTTTGCAAGTGCGGGAATCTGGTGTTACACCTGCTGAGATTGCGCAGGAGGCAGGGCTATGATGTATGGCACAGCATCCTGTAGTCAAGGCTCACTCTGCTGGAATATGCACAACAATGTCAACGATGCCAGTGTTTTATTCAACACATCCCCTTGTGTGAAAGAGGCTGTGGCACTCAGAACAAGCTGTCCAGGATGTCTTTCTTGCCCCAAAACCATAACCCTGCTCTGCCCCATGAGTGTATATCACTGCAACTCTGATGAGCACTCAGCAACAGCAGAATTGTCCTAGACAGATGTTGCTCCAGCAGCCACAGTGATGCAGTCAGCTGTGTTCAGATGGCTAGCCTGCAGCAGCTCCTGTTAGCAGCACGGGCACCACATTAGAAAAACCCCCCTGATATAATTTAGCACTAATTAGGGCAAATGTAGTCTAATGCATGAGTAAGGCATCTCAGTGATCTAAATAATTGAATCAAAGTCCAATTTAATATATTATGTCTTTAGAGTATCTCAATGTTATTTTTAATATATTGAATATGTTCCAGCTTAACTTTTGTTGCTACAGAACAATGTGGACAACATAGATGACATGACTGCTAGCCTTTAAACACTGATTGGGTAAGTAACCAAACTTTGCTGATAGCCATTGATGAGTGAAAACTTTAAAGTTTCAGCTCTTTCAGCTATCACCACCATTCACCCTCTTCCTGCGTATCAATCAGAATCTGGTGTGAGTGATGTCACGATACCGTGGTATCACACAAATCTGTGGCACCACAAAGGCAGCATACCTGGCAGGAGGTCAGTCAGAGGTGTTGTGAAGTAGAGCTCAACACTTTACGAGAGAGCAGGGATCGTGGAAGATGGTGACGAGACAGTGTGGACAGTGGTCTCATAACTTTGATCTAACTTATACAGCTAGCCTAATTGACTAAGTAATGTTTGAGTTAGTAAGGTAAATGAATACATATCACTAGTGAGCTTACTTAGCCCAATTGACCAAGAGGCCGAGATGGAGGCTAGATAGCAGCAGAGTCCTACTATATATACTGTTGGGACCATGCACAGACTAGGTGTTATGTAAGCTACAGGTTGCTGGAGTAGTGGGGTGACAATGCAAAAACAAGAGCCGGTGAGTCATAGTGTCTGATGTATCCGGGCCAACGGGGGTTAAAGGTCTGATGCCGATCAGACTTCCAGTGGAAGGAGTCAGCATCAGTGCCTGTTGTCCAGCTGATGTAAGCCAGATGTCTGATGCCAATCGGACTCTGAAGGAGACTGCCAGGAGGCTGTATGATAGCTTTTCTGATGGCAGTGTTGTGTTGGCATGCCAAATGCATTAATGCGCTGATGCGCTGTGAGGGTGTGGAAGTAAACTGGTGCTAACATGAGGGTTTGGGCGCCAACGACAATAAAGGCATCGTATAAACTCAGGGAAAATTGTAGAAAATACAGGAAAAATACAGGGCAGGGCCTACAACAGGAGGGTCAGTTAGATAATTTGGAACAGCTGGCTCAATGACATTATCAATGATTCAAGTCTGCTCATGAGAGCATCAACATTCATCACATTAACAGATGTAGAGGGTTAAAAACAAGCTGGGACTTGTGGTGCATTGAGAGGAAATACACTCTGTGCATCTCTGACGGTGGTGGCTGCCTTTACATTGCATGTCTGCTTGCTCCTACTGAAAGAGCACACACTACATAGATTTTAGTGAACTCTAGAAACTTTTAGCTTGGATGGAGAACAAGTATATAGGCATGTCACACACTCTATGCAGCTACTAAAGCATTGACCAAGTTTACATAGGGAGTAATGGTCTGTCATTAATGAGGCCTCACTGTTGCAAATACACAAAAAACAAGCTCTGGGCTTGTCTGATATGTTCTCTTCATAGCATGTGTCTATTGTGGAAGGTACTGAATACTGCAGAGGGTGGTGTATTCTTCACCATTGTAATCACAGTTTCTGTCACTGCCATCATATTCAATGCCACCTTTCAAGTACTGCTCAATCTCAGGTGCTTAAAATGGTCAAGTTGACAATATCATTAGTGTGCATAGTGGTAATATTGCAGGCAACTACATATGATGCACATTGTTCATCTCAATATATGGTGGACACACTTTCCTCCTATAAAGTGTTGTGACTATGCTAATGTCTTACCTAGTGGTGAGTAGCATCTGGCAGAGAACATGATAGCACTGTTTTCTCATATCTCTACTTTTCTCACAACTCAGACATTAGTGCCCACACAGCATATAATACAGATAAAGTGAGCTGACATCTATTGCAGAAGCTGGATATGTCATCAGTCACTGGTTCATGTGCTGCAACTGCTGCAGTACATGTATCCCACATAATTCATATATATTTTGTATTCTAGCCATCTTCAAATGCTATAATATACCTTTCATTCATGCTGAGAATGCTGTATGAAGCTGTTATAATAAAATGCAAATAAATTTAGTTTAGAGCCAAAATTAGCCCTCTAGAAGGGGCAGGTTTGAAAAGATCTGATTGATCTAATCTATGCAATTAGTGCTAATTCTAGCCAATTAGACCTAATTATCATGGGCAGTTTTTCCTAATGCACAGTGGGCTTTGCAGCTCTCTAAGTGAGACTTAGCCAGCTGCTACTGAACTCAGATATGTGGCGCTGCTACAGTGCATGCTTTCGCTGTTCTCCTCCTGTTATAGAATGAAATAACACAAAAAAACACTTGTCAGATTCATCACAGCACTTGTTCTGTCTATTAAGTTGTCCATGCATGAGTGTATGAGCTTCGCATAATAAGCCAAAGCACCTGAACAAGCGCAGGCGGCGCTGCAAGTGTAATGTCTAGATCTGCGTAGAGAAGCACAATTTCAAGCACATCAGAAAGAGCTTTTGACACTGCACACTTTCAGCACACGTAACACGAACAAACTCAACAGCATCAGTGGTGGACCATCCTGGTCAGCATCACAAATTCGCCCATACAAGCGTCTATTATATTCTTAGTGCTCATCATAGCGTTAAACACGATCACATGACTTACACAGTCACATGCATATCACAAGATCTAGATCATCACATAGATATAATGGGATCAGTAGATAAGATAACCACAAGTCCAGAACTTATTTTAAACCAGTCACATGTCATGACATCATAAATGATGTCACCTAGTAGGAAGCTTAGCTTAATGGAAATACTCCAACAATCATTATCTCTTGTATCACTAAACATAATAGTAGTGTATTAGTAACAAGTCACGAGTAGTCACATAAGCACTTAGTAATGTAGAGTACCATAGGTCCTACGTAATGTCAGGGGTCTTAGATTATTTGTATATAAGGAGCGTTGTCTGAGGCTTAAGACCTCAGACTCAACAACTTCATTGATTCTTAGTATCTGCAACTTGCTCCATTCTGACCTTCACTCTTCACTCCTACCTTTCAAGTCTTTCAGTAAGGTGAGTATAGCAGTTGTGATAGTCAGTAGCATGTGTGATAGCTGGAAAAGAATGGAAAGAAAGACAAAAGAGGTTCTTTTAGCTTGTGTCTTGTGTGTGCTGCCTGCTGAGCACAAATAATTATTTATGGTAGAAGATTCTGGAAGATTCCACCAGGTTTCAAAGAATTCCAGGGAATTCTAGAAGGTTTCACCTAGTTCTCCAAGGTTCTGCTTCATTCAAGCATATTTTGTGGCTTGTATAGAATGTTCTGGTGGGTTTTTCTACATATTTGAAGGTTCTAATACATACAGATGGCCTTATGGAGGGTGTAGCTCCTATGTGAAAGGTTTTGATGACTGTTGCTACTATATATGGGCATACCTGTTTGTTTACCCATATTAGTACTATTTGGCCTTGCCTAGACATATTATTATATATGAAAAGGTGCCTAAATGCCTAAGTGCACTATTAGGCTTGCTTGATGTTGTCTATCTTTTCAAAGTTTTTCCATGAATTAGTGTCAAACAGTTTTGACACTTGTTACCATTTCTGAATGTAATGAAGAATTGTTCTGTTTGGACTGGCACTTTGGAAGCTTTTCAGCACTGTTATAAACCTTGGTCCAATGCATGGAAACTTTAAGTGTATTGAGACTACACTCACTCATCAAACTAAGATTAGGGTTTATTTCAAACTTTGAAATAAAACTTGCTCAAATTTTACAGCACGCTACACTTTATGTATTGATTTGAAATTTGATATCTGGGTATCTATAGCATGTATCTACCTATTAGTAACTATCAAAAGATTGGATAGTCATGTGTGGATGTACAGTAACACTGTTTTTGACAAGCGCTTGCTAGACTAAGATAAGGATGAATTGTTTCAGACATGAATATATTACAACAGCTGTTACATTGGCAAGTAACGCTCACTGAGAAGATTCAGAATATGTATATATGTTTGGTATAATACATGACTAAGAGAGTAAAATTGAGAGAGAATGATCATAAGGCATATGTACATAGGCGCTCAGAAGGCACTTTGTAACTGTTACGATTTTTGAATGTAATGAAGAAACATTTTGTTGGAAGTAGCACTTTGGGGGTCAGTTCACTTTCTAACACAAATCTGCCCCTCACTCTACAACTTGCTATACTTGGGCTATTGACTTAAAATTTGGTCCACACATATTTTCATCATAGATCTACATGTGAAAAATTATTTGGTCACAATTGGATCAGTTTTGGCTCTTCAGCACTGTGTTTTATGCTTGAGCTGGGGACTTACACAAATTTCATGAATAGGCCACTTTCAAAAGGCACAACATCTAAATAATCTTTATGCCATCAGATAGAGCACAATGAAAGGGTCCAAAATATGTAAAAGCATGTGCCAAATTAATTGTTTAAAGAGGTGATTTGGAAGGAACAAAGTGCGAGAAAACGCCAGATTAAGCGCTCAATAAGCGCCACAATACGTTCTGCCCTCTTCATCACTTCTACTCTTCCTCACATATTTCTGTCTATCTATACCATGTAGCATAGAGTCTTCTATATACATACTAACTGTGTACTTAGTATGAGAATGGTTTAAGACCATGGTTCAGTGATAAAGTGCTAACTACTGGCTTTAAAGCTTAGTGCACAGTGCTGCACAATATATTGTGAACTCAGCAGTGGCTACAATAGCTTACGATCTTATGAGTACATTGTACATACTACCTATCACTATGGCCAATGTATGTAGCATTATTGAAATTTATTTAGAATTACTACAAATGTTCTATGCATTCATTGCTCTTACTCCTCTCTACAGATCAATACTTGTCCATAATTCACACAGATATTCTAAGAGCTTCCATTACTATATCTTGCAAGTATTAGGTTACTATATTGTACATATTGAAACATGTGAGCTCATAATTAAGCATATGGTCATGATCCTGTGCATAAAATTTAACTCTTCAAGCTACCACACTTAATGGCTGTTCTACTCCATTCTGCTATCTCAGAGCACCCATATATATCTTAAAGAAATATATAGTCATACTATCTGCCATGATATTACTTTATCTTAGCCTTCAAAACCAAAAATCATCAAAATAAACAAGATTCCCCAGCTAAGATTGAACCCCCAGACTCTATCCAATAAAGCAACTGCTCTCTTAAAATGTGCAATTTGCCATCTCAGACTCAACTGGAAGGAGGAGTAAGTACACCTCATACACTTCTTTCACCTTAACCACCACCATTTCTGCTCACAACATGCTTCACAAGTGTAACTTCTCCAAGTCTTCATAGATATTTAACTTGCCCCTGATCTTTTACCTTGCTTGCTACCTTTTGGTAGTTTTTACTGGCACTTTCTTAGACAAAATCACTTAACAAAATTCTAACACAAACTTTGAACTGAACTGGAATGAAATGGTCAGAAGCACCATTTGTAAAAGCTCTACTCTGTCTTGCTCAGACAGACTGTACAAATAGAGCAACCCAGTTCAGATTGAGTAGAGTCTAGGTCATAATTGCCTTCAGCTACTTTGTGGCACAGTTACAGAGACTATCTCCAAAAGCTCTGTTCTGTCTTTTGGCTTAAACAGGCTAGACTAAAAGAGCTTTCCAGTTGAGAATAAGTGGGGCCTGGAATATAACTGCCTTCAGCCACTTTGTGGCATGGTTACATATGTTGCAGTATAAAAGAAATGATGAAATTATATCTGCCGAGCATATATGCTACAGCCCACATAACTCTAGTTGTTGAGCTCATGCTTCTCTTTGCCTGCAATTCCATATTGCAATTTGTGTGACCCATGATCATATCATCTACAGTCTATTGATCCAGTAACTAATCAGCGTGATATGCTCTCTCCTGTTGGCCACGCTAATCCGCACAAATTGTGCAAGGGCCACTATCATGCTGTTATCTTTCTCTATCTTTCTAAGTATTATTTTGGGAGATACCCCTGCCTGTAAAGCTTTCAGAGCTACAAATCCCAGGTGCTATTCACTATCATAGATGATAGCATCACCACTGCAGCACTTCTGCCCATTAGCACTGCCTCAGCAGCTGCTTCTTTGATGTCTGCGTAGTGCTATCACTTCTGCCTTTGCACTCACTGTCAGCGATGATGACAACAACCCCCATGTAAATATATGATTTCTTCATCATTTTACCCCTAGTTTTTAATAGCATATATATTACATGTATTGACTACCAGTTTATTAGCTAACTAGGCTACTAGACACAGCAATCCACCAGTTTTCAGCTGGTGGACATTGGGCTAGAGGCTTTGCATTGGCAGGCAAAAGCTCAGCCCATTATCGAGGTCAGAGATGGTTACTCTGGGTGGAGCAAGCCATTTGCTGAGTTCTCTGGACCAGATGTTAGGTTGAAATTTCCCAGTTGTTTGTGTGGGGGATTATGGAGCTTATTATGCCACTGGATCTTCTAACTAAAGTGCTCGAAGGATCTGATAACAACTATTCTAGACTTTTGGTTGAAGACTAGTGTTACACAGAAGACAGTATGATTATAAGTAACAACTGTTCTGGACTTCTGGATGAAGTATAGTGCTATACTATAAGAGCAGGTAACAACTATTCTAAGCTTCTGGCTGAAGCTTAGTATTACACTGCAGAATGGTTTCTATAGACTGGGTAAGTAACAACCAATCTAGGCCTCCAGTTGAAGCCTAGTGTTACCTATAAACAGACAGACAGATACTTACTGAGCTGGTTGCTCAGGAAAAAGCTTTATCTCAAACTCCAGCTGAGTGGGTGCAAAGGTCTTCTTCTTTTTTGGAGTGCTACCTACTGCAGTCCTTATATACTACTGAGGGAAATTTGCAATTCCTGTCTGAAGCATCTCCCAAAGGTATGAAACAGCTCTTCAGATTGCATAGCTAGGCTATGTAACTTGTTTTAGGTGCAGCATTTCAAGTCCTTACAGGCAACAGATGCTCAGCTATGCTTGGCTATGCTTATATCAGTAAAATAACAGCATGTCTTTTTAGTCTTTTAGAAGTGCAAAAAGCTCAAAAAGATGTAAAAGTCCAAAAGACGGAGGTGTCTTTTAAACGCCATGTCACTTGGCGTTAAAAAGATGCCAGGGCTTTTAGAAGACCTGGGAACTTTTGAAAGATGCAAAAAGACCCTCAAAAGTTCTTCTAAAAGACAGCATTACACAAGCATTTCAGTACACACAGATGTATTTCAGGTAGAGAAGACGTGGTATTAGATCGCAGCAGATGTAAACAGTACAATAAGCTATGTGTGCAGCATGTGACCTAATTACCATCAGAGCTATTAGACTCAAGCTCAAAGTCATCAGCCTCTGACAACCCACTGGAGGCCGAGGCATCTGCGGCAACCTCAGGTATGTCAGCATATCAAAATTGCACATACTTGACCACTTCCTCATGCAAGTGCCTCTACTCTTCGTCTCCCAGCTTCTTCACCAACTTGTTCCAGCGTGAGGTGCAAGCAACCAGCTGCAATACCTTCTCCTTAGTCTCGTTATTGACTACTCATATGCTTGTATTGCCCCAGTTGTCCTGCGAGTAGTGGCTGGCTCTACTGGTGGGCTTCACAAACTTGCCTGTCTTCCAGAAGTGAAGCACACGGTTGACCTACAAAAGGTATTAGTCAGTGGAAGAAAGTGAGATACAATAGCACTGACGAATGGCAAGAATGCAGTGAATCAGTGCACCCCAAGAGGGGCCAGTAATTTTGTGCCTAGCGGCTTCAATTGGCATGAGGATCTTGGCAACATGGTGGGCAAACGTAGCGACAACCAAAGGATGTGCAAAGCATCTCTGCAGAGGCATCAGATCAGCAAAATGAGTGGGAAAGCCACAGAAGCTACGTCGGCTGTTATTGCAGAGTGAAGATGATTGTCTGAGTCTAGCTCACCATTTGCTTTGTTCTACCTCCCCAGCTCTTGTACACAAAGGGCGCTCTGCCGGCCTCATCTCCAAGCAGGTACGTGATGAAATCTTTGATCTTCTCCTTGGTATCAAGATACTCATCTTCTGAGATCAAAGTTTTGACAGCCTCCTCGGCCTCTTGTGCGAGCCGGTATCTCCACTGATGCAGAGTGTCCATGCACTGCAAAAATCAGGTACAGGTTATATACTTCGTACATTAAAATATCTGCTAAATTCAAATATACCAATTTCACCAAGGGATCAGTTGGGTCAGAGAGATCATATTTAGCTGCCACGGTATGCCCCAAGCCTTTAGACAGAAAGACTTCAAGATCTTGTACAGGGATCTTGAACCACGCATCTTGTGCACCAGTGTACTCTCAGATGAGAGGTGCAATAGTGTCACTGAATGCCTGGCAGAGCTTAGGTGTCAGTTTCGTCACCTTCAGTTTAACTCAATAACCTCTCTTGCCTTTGCATCACGCAGCAAGGCCTCCACAGGTGACAGTGGTCTTGATCTTGATGAGAGTCTAGGTGACCATAACACTAAACAGAATAGAGACCAGAGACTAAAAGGAGCAGAACACACCTGAAAGCTGGGATTGGCAGATCGTTCTGTTGAGGAAACAATGGCCACTTCGCATTCTTTGATGGTATTATCTCTTGCATTATCTTCAAATCCTGCACAATCATTAATTTGAATATCAGCATCAGGCTCACACCGGTTTGCATCAACAGGGGCTGAGTTAGAGGAGAGGTTCTTGTTTTTGCCCTTCGCTGCCTGTTGCACAGCTCGCCATTCGTTCGATAGCTCTCCAAAGCCCTTGGTCTTCTTGGCTTTTTTGGTGGCACGATTACTAGAAGAATATTCCGAGATCAACACAGCATGAATGGGTGACAGAAGTGAGAATGTGCGTATCCTCTTTTGATCTCTCTCTTCTCTGCATTTCCACCATCTGACTATCCATATTGTTACTCTGCTTCAGACTCTTTCTCTTCGCCTCCACCTCTGCGTGACCTGTATCACAACTGCTATACTCACCTTACAAATAAACTTCAGGGTAGGAGTGAGAAGTAGAGGTGGAAATAGAGCGAGTTGCAAATACTAAGAATCAACGAAGTTGTTGAGTCTAAAATCTTAAGCCTCAGATAACACTCCTTATATACAAGTAGTCTAAAACCCCTGACACTATGTAGGACCTATGGTACTCTACATTACTAAGTGCTCATGTGACTACTCGTGACTTGTTACTAATACACTACCATTATGTTTAGTAATACGAGGGATAATGACCGTTGAAGTATCTCCATTAGGCTAAGCTTTCTACCAAGTGACATCATTTATGATGTCATGACATGTGACTGGTCTAGAACGAGTTCTGAACTTGTAGTTATCTTATCTACTGATCCCATCATATCTATGTGATGATCTAGGTCCTATGATATGCATGTGACCGTATAGGTCACGTGATCGTGTTTAATGCTATGACAAGTGCTAAGAATATAATAGGCGCTTGTGTAGGGCGAATTTGTGACAGTACCCCTGCCTTAAGACTCGAGCTCTGTGGAGAGGAGTTATTTACCCATTGAATCAAAACCTTTGTTTCCTTTAGTGGTTTCATCAATAAAACCCACTACTTCAATGTTGACCTGGGCTATCTGTTTGACTATTAACTGTGCAATGCGGTCATTTGACTTTACTTCAAAGGCGATGTCACTGTTGTTTACGAGTAATACTTGTATCTCGCCAGTGTAATCTCTGTTAATAACACCCACTGCTATGTCTAGTCCTTTAACTGACAATCCACTTCGTGGTGCAACACGTCCGTATGTGCCAATTGGTAGTTGTAATTGTACTCCAGTTGGTATGAGTTGACATTGACGTGGTTGTATTGTGGCATTGTTCAGAGTGTATAGGTCTAAGCCTGCAGCTTCTTCTGAACCTCAAGTTGGCAACTTTGCCCCTGGTTGTAGTTTGACAAGCAGAGTGGAGTCTCTTTTGTAGACTGCCATTTTTTGAATAAACATCATGTCCATTGTTCGTGCTTCATACAGGTCGTTCCAATAGGAACTGACTATCTGTTTGGTATGTTTCAGGTTCTCTGCTGGTTCCCATGTAGCGTCTTGTTCACTTTCACCCTTTCATTTCACCAAAAAGTATGTTTTACAATTACGAATACGATGTTGGAGTATTTTCTCAACTTCGAATTCTTCGTGTCCGCCTCTTATAATTGGTGCTGGAGCTGATTTCTTTTGTTCCAGCATGGGTTCAGTGTAAGTGGCTAATTTACTTGCATGGAAAACCGGATGAATTGCCCAGTATTGACTAGGCATTTTCAATTTAAATGTTACAGGTGTAATCCGTTCTATAATTTCGAACGGTCCCACATAGCATGGAGTTAACGTGCATTGTGTTGTCCAGTAATCCCGCATATCAAGCATAGCTTTATTGCTGACT